GGAGTGAGGGGACAAGGGGGACGGGGTCAGACTGAAACAGGGGAATTTAGGGTGGATATGAGGAAGAAATCCTTCCCTGGGAGGGTGGGGAGGCCCTGGCACAGGTTATTCCATGGATTCCCCAGCCCTGGGAGTGTCCAGGGCCAGGAGCAGGTCTAGTGGATGATCTTTAAGTCCCTTCCCACCCAAACCATTCCAGGACCCTTTAGGGTGGGCAGGAATCCCTCCCCTGCTGGGATCCCACTGTCAGCTCACTCTGGATTTCAGCTTCACCTCAAGGGCTTTCCCAGCACAATCCTGGTTTCTGTGGGAAGCCAAACTCATGGAATAAACCCCCCCCTTGGCACAGGATCAGGTGTTCCCCACCCCCTTTGGCACCGAAACAACCCACGGCAGCCCCTCGGAAACCTTCAGAAACTGAGACTTCAGCCCCAAAAAGGAGCTCTCACATTTTTTTGACGGCTCTTTTCTGGACGTTCCTCTGGACAGGAGGGTACAGGAAGATGGGCTGGGGGTCTGAGGATGAGGACAGAGGAGCTGTGTCCTGTCCCATGCCCTGGGACATGTCGTTGGAAGAGACCGGCAACGTCCGCGGTTGTCCCCTGGACGCCCTGATTGTCACCTGAAGGGAGCAGAGACACCAAAAAAAGGGGCAGAAATGAGCTGGGAACGCTCAACCTGGAGAGGAGAAGGTTTTGTGGAGACCTCAGAGCTCCTTCCAGGACCTGAAGGGGCTGCAGGGAAGCTGGAGAGGGATGTTCATCAGGAACTGGGGTGACGGGACAAGGGGGGCGGGTTCACACTGAAATAGGGAAATTTAGGGTGGATATTGGGAAGAAATCCTTCCCTGGGAGGGTGGGGAGGCACTTTGGAGGTTATTCCATGGATGTTCTACCCCTGGAAGTGTCCAAGGGCAGGTTGGAGCAACCTGGGCCAGTGGAAGGTGTCCCTGCCCATGGTCTGGATGATCCCTCAGGTCCTTTCCCACCCAAACCACTCTGGGGTTCTCTGCAGCCAAATTCAGGCTCAGGAGCTCCAGGGACACAGGATTTGAGCAACTTGGGCCAGTGGAAGGTGTCCCTGCCCATGGTCTGGATGATCCCTCAGGCCCTTTCCCACCCAAACCACTCTGGGATTCTCTGCAGCCAAATTCAGGCTCAGGAGCTCCACGGACACAACTCAGCCCCCCCCCAGGACACAGATTTGAGCCCCAAAAGTGCCTGTCTGTCCCTAAAAAAACTACAGAGCACGTCCAGGCAGCTCAGGCAGCTCCTCCAGAGGTGAGTTCAACCTCTGTCACCTCCTCTCTCTCACTTACTCCCTCCCTGAATCACCCAATTAACTAATTACACAGCCCAGCCCGGTTTTTACAACAACATCAATGAACCCAAAACACTCCGGGGTGTTCCCTGAGGGAGCCCAGAGCCTGGGATTCCTCAGGAAAACCTGGGATTCCTCAGGAAAACCTGGGATTCCTCACCTTGGTGCCAGGTTTTAACCCTTCCAACTGCTTGGGCTTGCGGAAGGTTTTGTGGTGCTGCAGCTTGTGCTCGATTTTGTCCTTGGCGAAGAGGAACTGGAGCCTGCACTTGTTGCAGTGATAAACACTCTTCTTCTAAAGCAAAGGGGGAAGAAATGCAGTTGAGAGGAAGAGGAGTTTCCCCCCACACACACAGCAGGGTTTGGGTTTAAAAATGAAAAGAAAATAAACCTCCAACCCCCCCCAGTTTTCCCCCTCTTGGAAAGCAAAGGAGGCCCCGTTTTCCTCCTGCACGGCCCTCGTTGGTGGGTTGGTTTAAATTGGTTTAAGTTTTTAATTAAAATCAACAGGTTCTGCAGAGACACCACACCTGGGAGTGCCACAGAACAGGTCCTGGGGCAACATTCCCTCAGGAGTTGCCTCTCATGGGGAGTCCAGCAGAGGATTTTGGGGCAACTCATTTCAGGCACTTTTAGAATTCCCAAATTCTACCTCCTAAGAGCTCATTTTCCACCCCCAGACAGGTGATCTGTGGTGTAACTGGTGCCTCATTCCCTCAAGAGCTGCCTCTCAGGGGAGTCCAGCAGAGGATTTTGGGGCAAATCATGTGGTAAAATCCCCGAATTCCCAAATTCTACCTCCTAAGACCTCATTTTCCACCCCTAGACAGGTGACTCCTGGTGTACCTGGTCCCTCATTCCCTCAAGAGCTGCCTTCCCTTTGCCTCTCAGGGGAGAGATTTTGGGGCAAATCATTTGGTAAAAATCCCTGAATTCCCAAATTCTGCCTACCAAGAACTCATTTTCCACCCCCAGACAGGTGATTTGTGGTGTAACTGGTGCCTCATTCCCTCAAGAGCTGCCTCTCAGGGGAGTCCAGCAGAGGATTTTGGGGCAAATCATTTGGTAAAATCCCTGAATTCCCAAATTCTACTGACTAAGAGCTCATTTTCCACCCCCAGACAGGTGATTCCTGGTGTACCTGGTGCCTCATTCCCTCAAGAGCTGCCTCTCAGGGGAGTCCAGCAGAGGATTTTGGGGCAAATCATTTGGTAAAATCCCTGAATTCCCAAATTCTACTGACTAAGAGCTCATTTTCCACCCCCAGACAGGTGATTCCTGGTGTACCTGGTGCCTCATTCCCTCAAGAGCTGCCTTCCCTTTGCCTCCAAGGGGAGTCCAGCAGAGCATTTTGGGGAAAATCATT